TGTATCCCAGTGACTAGAATCATTCTACTCACCCACCCTCAAATCCACCAGCGATAGCCACTCGAAGCACACGTAAACGCGATTACAACAATCTCCTACCATTTAGAAAATTCATCATGCGCCGTCTCTTGATGGCATAATGATTCGCTAACATTCTGCAAAACCACTCACAAGATTGGTGAGAGATTTCGTGCAGTCGACAAGTCGAACCATGTCCTTCGATTTGCCCACGTTTCCCTTAAACACATTAGCACGCTTTCGGCTTCTTTATGTTAATTCAATCATCACTTTCAGACCAGGCAGTGTGTAGGGGGACACTCTATTGACAATGGATACGTAAAACATGTGGGTGTGTGTGTGTGTGTGTGAAGTGCCATAAATAGCGTCGAGAGATAGAGAGCGAGATCGAGTTCATGCGAGGCTGGGGTGGGCGGGGCCTTACAAACCCCATGCTATACACAACTCCGACACGACTGTTTTCATCATGGACGGGGCAGCGGCATCGTCGTCTTCGTCACGAGCGACCCCACTGCTGCACCTTCGCCGTTTTGTCAAGGGGGAGCACTGGCTGTTGTTTGGAGCGTATCTGCCTCCTCCTCCTCCTCCGTCTGATGTGCGCTGCTGGCCTTAGAGGTTGCCGGCTTCTCCGCTATCTTCGCTTCGCCGCAGGAAGACGGCGACGACGACGATGACAGATCGCAGTCGATTACCTCTAGATCACCGACTGCTCCATTGCGTCGCCCCTCCCGATGACGCTGGATGTCTTGATCCATCGCACACCGACGCACAAAAGGCCCTTGAAGACGTCTCCGGTCGACGAATGATCGCATCTGTTCGTGGACGATGTGTTTGCCATGGAGGCCAGATAAGTTGAGTTCTCAAGCAGAGAAGTCGCTCCCTGGCTCCGTAAAATGTCTTTTGCTACTTCATACACGAATCCCACTTCGGCACCCTTAAAGACGTGCTGATTTGGCGGAACCTTGGTGTAACCGCGTTCTACAGAGACGAAAAGGGCAGAACGCAAAAATCGAAATCACCAAGTGCATGGAAGTGAAGCACTGCATTTCGTAAGTGCCCTAGCTGATACACGCAGCAGTGTAAGCAGGCCAAGTGAAACTAACCTGGCAAATAATCGGCCAAGTTGAAGACCAGTTTGCAATCCGCAAAAGCGAAAGATTCACCGCTGTCCGAGTCCTCGCCGCTCTCGTCATCCACATTGATTGTGCTTTCAGCACTTTTACCCACATCTCGTGGTTCCTGTCGAGGCGCCGCGTTATCAGGAGCAATTGGCGGTGATGAGGCATTTGCGACAGCCTCGAGCGACTCGTTGTTGGCAAACCGATCAGACAAGGCGCGGAGGCGGCAAGAACCAGATGAAGATCCTTCTCTGACAGGAGCTCCATGTACTTGCGTGGCGATAAAATGTGCAAATCGATTAGAACCGGCAGATTGACTTTGTGCTAAGTTGCTCAGAATGACCGCGTGGTCAGACAGAGTTGCTTCATTCGGACCCATCATCGCTGAGCGCGAACAACCCCTGCCACACAAAACCAGGCAAATCTGAAAATGGTCAGAATTAGATGTAACGTGACGGGCTAATGTATTCTCGCAAGTCATGCTTACACCACATGTCGGCGCATGGACGATGTGCTAA